TCCATAAGCGTATCTTCCAGAGATGTCTCTTTGGTGTTGAACCTCCCAGATCCCATTTAAGGGTCCCTGCTGTGTCCCACTGCTTGCCTGGCCCAACCCTGCACATTCTCCTCCTGTGGATTCTCTTCACAGACACATTGAATCCTCTTTTCCTTATCAGGCTCATACAGGCCTGCCCTGCACGCTCTTCCCTGCAACAAGGAGACGAGAATGGGGAGCTGAATATAGCTGATCATTGTTTTGCTTCACAAAACCCTGCCATGGGCACAGATTAACACCAAAAACTAGATGGCAGGAGCCAAGGGAAAAGGCCTCTTGGAATGCCTCCACACTACTGCTGGAGCGACCACTGTTTGACATCCATCGTGGGCTACGTGGTTCAGGACTGCTTTTGTTCCCATGGGCCTTATTCCCATCAAGCTGTCCCCTCAAACAGGGAAAATATTTAAAGCTGAAAAAAGCAAGTGAACAGCTTTTTCTTAACTAGGTTGCTAGTGCCTTGAATTTATATCTGCTTACACCCAGCAGCTCCCCTTTCAGTGGTCTGTATGTCCAGTCTAGGGAGGTCCTCTGCTCTTTTCACCCACATGGTCATATTAGACTTGGCATTTGTGCAAACCCATTTTCCTGTTAAGACAGGAATCACAAACTTGGAGTCTGATGCATCAAAATATATTTCTATCTATCTGTGGGTATCCATGAACTACTGAATTTGCTGTGATGCAGCAAAACACAGATTTGGAGCCTTCAGGGTCAAACTGTGTTGTCTTCCATTCTACAGCTGAGTTCTCACGAGCTGTAGGCAGCCAGTAGTATTCATGGGCCTGCTTGTCTAAATAGCGAGATTATATTAAATCTCAAGCAGAATCTGGAAACATGTAGACATGTTCATTTTCTAGGCTTAAAAAGATTGCATTTCATTTTCTAGGGACTACCCAACTATTATGGAACAGTGGATGGAAAGTGAAAGTAGTGGAAAGAAGTGGAAGGCAGTAAACTCCATGCCCAATTGTGTTGACAAATACAAATTATGCATGGAGCTGAGAGCAGAGGAATTTTGGTAGTTTGGCAAAATTACAGGAACAGATATTTAAAAGTATCTAAATAGGAGGTCTATTAATTTAAATATAATAGAAGTATCTAAATAGGTATCTACAAATATTTAAGAATGATAGAAGAAGTTCTTAAGGTTAAACTGAAATAAAACTTAAATGCCTAGACAAGTTTTAAGATCCAAGACTCACTTGCTAAAAACAATATATTAAGATTTTCATCTGGCTGCATGCAGATTGTTTCATCAACAGTAACAGTAATAATAGCATACATTATTTCATAATGTAATTGTATGTAATCCATGACTATTGGCTAAACTTGTAGATGAGAAAAATTACGAACTTTATTAGTCTTTGCACTCTTTCAAGTCTACCTTTAGTCTGAGTATTCTTCAGTCCTGATGTGGATCTTGTTCTACCATATTTTCCAACAGCGCTGCAACACTGTTGATGATATCAACACCTGCTATTCCTACTGCAATTGTGAACAGCAATAAAATAATTTTTGTTCAAGGTACCCAATATTCCACTGCTCTAAGATGTGTACTGCTAACATAGTTCAAGAGAGAAACTTGAAAGATCTAAAATGTAATTGACATCTGGCACGGCGACTCAATTAAATACCGCACTGAATTAATTAACTTGCTCTGTCTCATAAGCCAACAGCAGCAACACCATATTCAGCAACACAGTACTGCTGGAAACAAGAAGCACTTCAGCAGGATATTACATGTACAGGCTGCATTCAGTTCAGAGTGCAAGGGGAATAAGTAAGCTGTGACTGTTACAGCTTGAATGAATCCTGTGAGGCACCGTCACATTGCAAGCACTAAACAGTACAGTCAGGTAAGATGCTTGTAGTCAGACACAAACATACTTCCCAATAAAGATATCAGCTGCAAAAATTATGATATTTACTCACCTGAGGGTACCTGGATTTTTTTTTCCTTTCTATACAAAAAAAAAATCCACATCAAAATTCTTTTCCAGAAGTTTGGTGTTTATGGCAGCGCAATGTTTGAGGTTCTCAGTCAGAAAAGAAATAAATCTGTTTTCAGCTGCTCATGTGAAAGTCTGATTGAATTCTAGGGATGTGAGGCTCTACCCAAATGAGCTTCCCAAAACAGATATAAATAACCTAAGTAAAGAATCCCAACTCCCCTGATGAACAACAGAGAACATGTACAATAGTGAGATAACTAGTCAAATGCATAAAAAAACACAAGAAAAACAATTTCAAGGAAAAAAAAGTATAAGAGAACCGTGTAAAAGCTGATGCCGAAGTTTTGTTGTTTTAACAGCATACTGAAGTTGCACCAAAAGGTTTGTATTCTTCACACAGCATTTTAAAGTAACAAACGTAGCATTACAGGAAACATAGGGAACAAAGAAAAAAATTCTTTGAATCAGAGAATAACTCAGGTTGGAAGGGATCTCTGGAGGTCATCCAGTCCAAAGTCCTGCTCAAAGCAGGGCAAAATTCGAAGTCAGATGAAACTTCAAAGTTAAATGAGATTGCTCAAGATGATACCCAGTTCAGTTTTGACTTTTTCAAGGGATGAAGTTACTCAGGGGACAAAACAATATTTCTGAGGACTAAAATTCTGTTTACAGGAACTTTTTCAGATTTCCAAATGTGTTTACATTTGTAGGCAAAACAAAAGTAAAATCTTTCAAGTGTTAGTAAAAATAGACTTTATGATTCTTAATTTGACAATTAAAAAAGTATCTTTCCAGTTTAGTGAGAAAAACAGTCCTGAATATTTTCATCTCACATCTCTGTGAACTACACTAAGAAAGCTGTTCTATCCCATTACAATCAAAAAATTAAAAGTCAGCTCTGCACACTGCTCAATTACCAGTTCATTAAAACCCAACTATCCTACCTAAATGTTTTTGATATAGCAAAAGTGGTATTTGCGCAAATTTAAAAAGCAGTATCAGACCTTAAAACATTCCTCTGCTATTAAGGGAAAAGCAAGGTCTTGCCAGGGCTGTGGTTATTCCACAACTCCATAAAAAAACAAACAAACAAACAAACAAAAAAGAAACAACCCAAAAAAATCCACCAAAAAAAAACCCCAAAAAACGCCTCCCCCAAAAAAACCCCTCAAAAAAACTCAAGAAAAACCCAATATGATTGTATGATTGGCTGCTGACATGTTGCAAATTCATCCTCATCTGATAAAGATTGATTTTGTAGAGAAGGGACAATCATTACTTCCCATACTAAAACATTATCTTCATGTTGTATATAGCTGATTAAATGGTACAAATGGACAAAACCAAACCAGCATTTCTCTATAGTATGGATTCTGGACAGACTTTGAGTTACAATGGTACTAAGGTCTCTGTTATATGAAAGCTGATGAAATTAGTTATACTGGGATTTAGAAAATTATTTGAATTACAGGTGGTTGTCACATATGACCTTTTATGAAAAAAAGTTTTGAGAAAGATGACAGGCCAATAATAAAACAGATGAAGAAATCAAAATTAAATGGATGGCGAAAATGAGACAAGTTCAAATTTTCCACTTTTTCCTTTCTAACAAATAAGGTACTTTGACTCTGCAGTACTTCTGAAAATCTATTCTTTATTCAGGTGCCTGAATAGGAAACCCGATCTGGATTGGGAATACTGAAGTCTTGTAAACTTAGACCATGTTTCCGTGCCGCTTTCTGTAACATTTCTTAGCATCATTTGATTAATAAATTACACGAAAGAGTACAAAATTGTGAGGTTTTAAAATGTCTACTATGCACTACATCTATACTATACTATATTATGTACTCAGAATAATGGTTCACTCAAATTTTAATATGCATATTTACAGAAAGTAACATGCATCCTACCCAGCAACCCTCAGAAAGAGAACTCCATTTAATAGGCATAGGTTCTCCAGGGGGAAGCTGAAGACAATCAATTTCCCCCTTTTTCTCCCCTGTCCACAAAACCCCACTGCCCACACTGTCCCAGGTAACACACCAGCAACTCAGTGCTCCTCCCTCTCCAGGTCCTCCAAGGGCAGGACGATTCCCAGTGGAATCTCAGGTTCCCCATTTACAGCACAGATATGTGCACCCCAAATGCCTGTAATCCCCTCCTGTGAAACCGTCCAACACGTGTTTATGCTAAATACATTCAATGCAAGGTCTGAAATAGCAAACAGTGATCCAGCTGCAGATAATGGCTCTTCAGAAGTATCCCACAGGGCAATGCACGTTCCAAGACTGTTTAAACCCTTCTAGAGATATTAGTTGTTTCCTTCCTGATATTTTCAGAAAATTAATCTGAACTATACACAAATAATATTGAAGCTCAGACTTAAAACCAACACAAACAAAGATGAAATGAAGACCTAGAAATGACATGATTTTCAGTGCACTGAAGTGAGATCAGCAAAGCCTTACTTTTAAGTAAAATGGTCCACATACTTTCTGCAATCAGAATAAAAAATGAGGCTAATTGAGAATATATTATGACAGGTGTCTTTTGATGCTTTTCAAAAAAATGTGAATTTGATGGAAGATTTTGCTATGTTCAATTACATTAAGGCAAATTTAATTAATTATATCCAAAAATAATGTAGTTGTTTATTTTTGATACCTTTATTTAATCTAAATTAATCTAAATTAAGTATTCAGCAATTAATACTATGAAAAATATCAGATATTACTACTGAAACACAGCACCTTGGTTCAGCAAACAAGGAAGTGACATTTCCCTTCAGTAAAAGAACAAGTTAAACACTATTAACCTGTGCTCCAAATAACTTCATGTGGATGGTTGCCACAGATGAATAAATTGGAAAAGAGCCAAATACCACTGTCCGTTAAAGCTAACAATGCCCGTTTTCCAACGCTCCATCTGAGGAGCAATTCAGGCTATTCCCTGAAGAATGCCACACAATACAACAAAACAAAGTGTCTCGGAGCATCTACATACCAAGGTGTTATTATTCAGATCCATCTTCCCAGTGAAAGGCCCCCATGTTGTTCCAACCGGAAGCTGCTGCCGGCTCTGAATCTTGCGCTCCCCGTCTTTCTGGACCACCTCCAACTCTCCTGCAAACAAAGAAAACAAGCAGTGTTGAGAGTACTTTCACTCATGCCTTGACAACAACCACCTCTGCCTTTGTGCTGGTTTTATACGCACAATGTTCTGAGGACCAATATAATGAGAATTAATTATGCTTGTCTGAAAAACAACTGATCTTGTCATCCTGCAAAAGAAAAACAAACCTTTTTCTCTTAAAATTATATTCAAATTTTGTTCAGAAAGTCCCATTCCTTTCTTGCATCTTTTCACACACATTAGAGTTTGAAAGCAATTTTATTCAGAATAGCATTCCATAAGAGTTCTTAAGAAGTGCTGAGGAGGGGGGGAAATAACAGCTGAAAAGAGCAAGTCCAACAGCAGCCACAGCTGCTTTAACCTCCCTGATGCATTTTGCTGCACAAGATCCCATTCTGAAGCATGTAGCAACTAAAAATTTGAGAGAAAAACAGCATCAAGACATAAAAAATTCACAGCACCTCCAAGACACTGCTGATAGCATTTACTGCAATTACAAAAAGGATTTTGAACTGAAATTTTACAGGAAATAACATTTCAGAATTAAACAAAAAATAATTTTAATTGTTACCTAAACGTTGTAGGAAAAGTAAAAGCAATGGGGAAGCTGTATGATGTTTTTTGGGGTTTTTTTAGTACATAATGATTATTAGTGCATGGGATTTTTATTAATAAATTTTGTTTTTGAAAGCAAGATTTCAAAATTTACATGTAAAAGAGAAATTTTTGCTTTGGCTCAGCTTAACTTTTCTGGATTTTCCAGTAAAGAGAAAGACTAATGCAATTGATCATTCTCATGAAGGGAAAAATAAAATTCAGTCACCACCTTTCCCACTCCACATATTTTTTCACTTTATTTCAAGATTAAAAAAATAGTCTGGATAACTCTCCTTTGAAAGCAGTCTCTTCACTAAGACTATTTTTTATGAACAAATGTATCTTTTAAAAATCCAGCAACAGTTATATTTATATACACAATTTCTAACACTATTTTCTAAATTAATTCCACTTTCAGACTTTCATAGGGATACAATGGAACAAGGCCAGGCTGATCTGTACTTTTCCTGTTAGATGTTTGACTGCTTTTTTCCATGCTCTTGCACTTGCATACTTTGCCCTTCCTGAAGGTAGGCAAAAAAATCCGTTGTTCTCAGAAGCAGCTGAGCTCACCTCAACTTTGCTGAAACCATGATTTTTCATCATCTGTTTTCCACGACTGCTAAAGTCCCTTGCTCCTTTTCCACACCAAACAGATACAACAGTGATTCCTGTCTTTTGCATCAGCACGTCTCAACTCCACTCCAAATAAGGATGGTGCTTTTCCACAAACAGAGCAAAGTCCAACTGTGCAAGGAGTCAATTTGTCCCAGATTTAGAGCTGGTGGTTGTTGTGAAATGAACCTTGGGCTGAAGGAAGTGAGTAACTCCTCCTGGCTCACAGGCAGCTTCCACAGACTTCCCTGAGCTAAACATTCCCCTGGATGCCTGGATTTACATTGCAGTCAGGCTGCAAAGCTTTTCCTTGTCCACAGGGGTTAATCTTGACCATCTTCCAAAGAGAAGAGTTGGCTCCAGCTTCCATTTTCAAGCACAGAAATCTAAATTTCACCTCTGAGTGTTGCAGATTACAAAACTACTCTACGTAAAATCGTGCATCAGATCCTTCCTGCAAACTGGAACAAATCTAGGAAATAGAGCTGTATCGGTTTACAAAAGCTTCTCTGTATGTGGGTGAGTCCTCATCGTGACAGTGTTACGACATTTTAAAAGGCAGAATGTGAGCAGAAAAGCTCATGGATTAATTATATCTAATTTACACATGTGACATATATGCATACAAACAGAAAAAAAAGCAACCAAACAATGATAAAAGCATTTTTTTCCTTCTCACAGTCACATTGTTAGAAATTGTATTAGCTTTAAAAATCTCTTTATATGTTAATTATGGAATAGAGAAATTGCAAAGTAACATGTTTATCACTCAGCCATACTGCAGCATTTTCTCTCTACATAGAGATGAAAACGCTATGCAGCATTTGCTTGCTTTTACACACTAAAAAACAGCCATGTCTATGGACATGTCACATTTAACTGATACCAGAGGAATCATGAGAATCTTTGAAAACCCTTTTAAAAAATAATTCAGTCTCCCTTTCTGCCACTGACATTTTTCATTTGAAAAGGGTTCAGACACAGTCAAACAGTGACTCCTTATCTGTACCTGTGGATTTACAAGCAGGCCTGTCTTTTAATGGATTAAGAACGACAAACTTAGGGCAGATCAACCAGTGATATCCAAAAAGCTACCAAAGTTTTAAGGTCTACATCATTACACATTATATTTTAAATAAAATTAGTAACATGAATCTTATACCTGGTAAGTAGCTAGAGGGAAGCATATGAACAAGCTTTCTTTTTTCCAAATATAATTTTTTCCTTCTGTTGATAATTAAGTAACTTACTATGGATTCTCTCTCTTACTCTTTTGTTACAGTTCCAAGCTGTAGTTCAGGCAATATTCAATATATATGAATACTTTGAAATGTAATGCCTATGGGGTAACACCATGCTGAATTGTACTGAAACTGCTGTGTTTCCCAACCCACTTAGAACACCATGAAAGAGGTGTAAGACAGGGTAACAAAATGCTTTTCTGCAAAATCTTTCTGTTTCTCTTCATTGCAGCTCTCCAAAAAAGACACATTTCTCTCTTGTCACCATGAACATCAGCCATTTTAATGCTATGGGTGAGTTTCAGAGTTAGGACAATCTGCTTGCATTTTTTTGGCAAATGGAGCCAATCTGGTTACGCTTATACAAAGTGTAGCATACTACAATTTAGTCCTTGGTGAAGATTTCTTTTTTTTTTTGTAAGAAAAATCTTTGTTTTTTAGAGGAAAAAAAAATTAACACTGCCTGCAACCTTTCTCCATTCATTTACAACATTTTTCTTCTCTGAAATTTCCTATTTGGTGAATGGTACCACAACTGCAGCACACAGTCTCCCACTTGATGGGGTAACTGAGGCTGTCCCCTGCCCACTGCTGACTTCCCACAGGGATGCTGGTTTAAACCTGTGGCCCTAAGTAATGTGTGACTTCAAGGGTGTTTGCTGGAAAATTGAGAACCTCGCCCTGTGACTCTTAATTAAAAGGGTTTGAAAAATGTGTCAGCAAGACAGGATTTTCCCCTTCAGCCTCAGAGGAAGTTCAGATGTAAATCTGAAGTGCTCTCTACAGCTACCATCCTCTGCACAACTGTTCAGAATCTTCACAGATTACATCAGTAGAAGGAAGAGGATCTGAGACTTTATTGCTGTATCACCACTCACAGCAAGAAGTGTAAAGACTCGGCTGGTGCTCACTCTTCACACATACTTGTCCGTGGAAATTCCAACATGTGGGGAGGAAAAGAAAAGGAAGGATGAAAAACTGCTGCACCTTCCTTTAATCCATGCCCAAACCCAAAGGAAGCAGAAAATTCTGAGCTAAACACTGTTAAGTGCTTCAAGTAATCAGCAGTCACAGACCATCTCAGTACTGAATACAACATTCCTTCACATAACAGGAAATTATAACAGAACTCCTTCCTACTCCTGGAATAAAATATGTGATACGCTCATAATTTCCACACAAAGTAGAAATGCAGTTTTACTCTCTTCATCCTAGACTTGTCAGCTGCCCGACTGAAAAGGACAGCAAGAAGTGTGACAAAAGCAGCACTAAGAAACATAAGTAGTATATAAGGAAGCAATGCTCTCCTTTTAGTTTTTTGTAAGGCAAAAAAAATATTTAAGAGACATTCCATTTAGTGATATTTACTTGCCCTTTCCTTGCTACAGAGCAAGCAGTTTTTGTTTTGGTTTATTTTTCCCCAGCTTGTTCTTCAGGAACACACTTATTTCCAGCTTGCTGAGTAAGTTTATACAAAATATTTGAGACACATAGTATGGGCTAATCAATTTTGGTAAAAGATAATGCTGTTAGTGCTGTGGGCTGTTTCTCTTATCTTGTTGATGTAGCATACTTTTAAAGTCTGTGATTACTCAAAGACTTATGATAGCTGCACTGTAAAAGAAGCCTCAAGTCATGACTCACTAGTACAGCTATAAAACATCCCATGGCTTTTAAGATATTAGGCCACCTTGGTGGATAGAAAACCAGAATGGAAGGACCCAATTTAGGATTCTTTTCATACATGCATATATTGTTTCAGGCATGCCACGCAGGGCTTTCGTTAAACAGAAGGTAGAGAGCTCAGTTTAGCTTTATATTCCTTTACAGCACAATAAGGATCATTTAAAAAAACTCTACACAAAACTTAGAGTACACAGGAATCCAACAAGAGCTTTTGGCCCTCAACAGATCTGACCATACTCTGACTACCAGAAAAAATCAACTATATATAGTATTTCTGAAACAAAAAATACTGGCTTTCATCCATCTACCTACATTCTGGAGTAAAAAACAAAGGAGTATACATCTGAAGGTGAATGATCAACAGCTTTTGTGGGACATAAGGAGAACAACATCCAGAAATAACTATATCCAGATTTATATGCATTTAACACTTCTAAGCAAGTCACTGATAGCTTTGTAGCTATCTGAATGTATTTCTAATGTAGTTCTTGCTTAGAACTGTTTTTGCTATAGTATTTGTTTTTTGTTTTTTTTTTTTTAATTGAAAATAGCTTTCTAAGTGGAGTGGGTTCAAAACAATGAGTAAGCTCTTTCTCTGCTATAATTAGAGATTGGTTATTTGACATCATGGAGCTCTACCAATTTCCACAAGCAAATGGCTCCTTCTTTGCATATTTCCAGTCCACAGCCACCTGGCTCTCTAATGAGTATCTTTGCATGGCAGAGAAATTGTGTATGTTGTAGTTTCAAACAAGGACTGCTCTGAAGTCAGAGCAAGCTAGTTAAAAACCCTCTCAGAAGTTGTTAAGTGCTGCCCAACCCAGAACCCAGTATCTGCCTGCCTTCCTATA